GTAGCAGTAGTTGCAGTAGTAGCAGTAGTAGCAGTAGTAGTAGTAGTAGTAGTAGCAGTAGCAGTAGTCGTAGTAGCAGTAGTAGTGGTAGTGTAGTGGTAGTGGTAGTGGCAGTGGCAGTGGTAGTGCTAGTGGTAGTAGTGCTGGAGGAATGAGTTCTGGGAAGGCTTGCTATCCTCAACGCCCACAACACATTGGGGAGGTTATCAAGCCACCACCACGATGCCCGCAACAACGACTTCGACAACGACGACTATCCGTTGACTTAGCAGAACCCCAGAGTGGCTCGAATTCAGGTCTCAGCTTTCCGCTTGAGGGGAACTTCTGGACCTCCTGTGTTCGCAAAGTAGTCCAAGACGAACCGAGTCTCAGAATTCAACAAAACACACCAACTGGGGAGTCCTCTGTACAAGAACCGTGCCCTTGCGTTGAGGACTCTCAGGGTTTGCTCCGGTTTCAGCTTTGATGTGACGGGGCAAGGTTCTCCATACCGGGTGCTCCGCGCCTGCAACCAGGAAGAAGGCGCACATCACCGGTTGCGGGAAGGCGCTTTTGAGATGGTCCTACGGGTGGACCAACGGCTGTCTTTCAAAGAGTTACAAGAGGCTTCCGAGAAGGGTTCCGCACAAAGAGTTCCTTTAGCCATGTTACCAGTAAGGGTTTAGTACCTAGGGGCTTCAGGCTTTGGGGGTGCAAGGTCCAGGATGGGCACGAAGGAAAGGAGGAAGACCAGAAGTCCGTAGACCAGGGCAGTCAGCGAAAAGGTTGCCAGAACCTCTCAGGGACTGAAGCTCTTGGACAGAGGCTCTTTGGGCTTCCAAACTGCAGTCTTGCAGTAAGGATCCCAAAGTAGAAAACTCCCGAAATTTGGCCATTCCGCCCCAGTTCTGTCGGGTGAGGTCCGGCACCGAAGGCTTGAAGGGGCCGGTTCGCTTTCTGCAACAGCCCCCAAGCCTCAGCATCTAAACCTCTGACCTCTTCTCAACAGCCTCTCCTGCAAACCTCCTAAACCCCTAAACCCCTAGACCCACTCTTCAACCCCCAAATTATAGTTGATGAGAGGCGTCGACTCGAAACCGAGCAGCTGTTGCCAGAACTGGCTCGGAGCGTTGGCCCAAGGAGCTGGCAATCGACGCAGAAACGGCGCCTTCTTGGCATCCGCCAAAAAGGGGTTAAATATCATGCAAGGAACTGAGGAACATGGTAGAACATGGCATTTTAACATGTCGCACCATAAAGGGCTCTCATGTAAAGCTAGAGACAGCCTGCTTGACTTCATTCAGCAAGTCTGCGTGATTCTGCGTGTACAAAGCTTGCAGACTGGGCACTCTGAAACGGAACAGCCAAGGAGGAAGCGCAGGCCACGACTGTGGGAAAGCTGTGCCGCCAAGAATACACCTCGGCGCGGCAGCGAGCTCAGATGGAGTTTCCCGAACTTAAGGACTACAGGTCCTGTAGCGAAGGCACAGATACGACGGCTCTGGCGACTAGCAGTATGGCAAATTTAAAGCAAGCACCGATGAAGTGGACTATGAAAAGCTGCCAAACAGCGACCCAGAAACACACTGAGCGACTGCTGAAGAAAGCAGCAGCGAGGCAGTTACTGCTGCCTGGCAGTGCAGCTTGACGCTTAGCTCACTGGAGCCCCATCATTGATGATTCCGTTGATGTTTTCTTCATTGGGATAGCCCCTCCCGTGGGGACCCAGAAGGTTCCGCCAACTGCTGCTGTGGTGCCGTACATGGCTGAAACAGCGCCTGAGGTGCACCCGGAACGTTCCGCCAACTAACGCCGTGAGGTTTCTGAGTCGCGTGCGCCCGGTTCCCGGTAGTCTCCTCTTGGCTTTTTGCTCTGGCTTCCCGTTGTCGCCTGGCGTGGCTTGGTCTCCTACATGGTGGTCTGCAATGTGGCGTTTTTGCGGTGTTCGTGGTCCGGTCCTGGTGATCCTGGTCGTCGTGGTCGTCATGGTGCTCTATCACTGCTTGGGGCGGGCATACTTGTTAATAGCAGTGCTCCCCTTGATTGTTGCTGTTCGCACTATCCATCGTCCAGTGCAGTCACTTCCAGCATTCAGCCACTAAGATCCGAAAGGAGTTTGTACATACATGCACACACACACACATACACAGAGTCCTTTTCTTGAACAACCCCTCGGGGGTTCGAGGCTTCGTGCTAGCGACAGACGTGACCAAACATCTCGCTTCGATAAGCCTTCGGACATCGAGAGACTCTTGACTCCTCGTAATACGATGCATGAAACAGCTTGCAATCCAGATACAAAGCCCTCACCATGAAATTTAGCTTCCCTCCCCAGATCTTCATATCACCAGAGCCAGAATGCCCCGCTGCACGGGTGCGGCCATGCCAAATCCAAGAACACAAGTCAAAGTTTCCCGTCGAAGCCGGTCAAGCTTTTTCGACCCTCTTCAATCCCTCTAGAGCCGTATTGGCCACAGCCCAGCATTGCTTCCCCTGTCGCCCCAGATCCTTTCCCCAAAACTTGCATCTTACGTAAACCTGGAGAGCCGATCTCCCTCACATGGAGGAGTGCGGCTACCTGATGTGGGCGCAGCACTTTGGGTGCGCAGTAGACCAAGGCAAAACCTCGGCTGAGGGGCGCTGAGGAGTTTGAGAGTTTGGGTCGATGCCTAGGGGATTAGATGTCGGTTTCTTGATATCTAGAGTCTGGAGCCTATGGGACTTCCCACTTCGGCTCTTGGCTTGTCACTGTTCGGATTCTCTCGTTTTGAGGACCTGTGGTAAAGGATGTCATGCCATGAACCTAGCATGAGCTGAGTGTGACCGTGCTATCCTTTGAACAAGTCTCTCGGTGCTGCCTGGGTGCTGACGTCGCGAAAGATGACCAGGAACCCGGTAAGAGCTCCGGCCACCAGAGACCTGAAATGCTTGGACTTTTTGGGGAGAACCTACTGGTCACCACTTCAACCTGTGTGCTGTGGCCAAGGCGAAAGGCTGAGGATGGCTGAGGCATCTCGCAAACTGACTTCGTGATAGGCTTCGGACGACATCCAGCTGCTTGGCGAGGCCATGGCGATCGCTGTGACATTTGGGAGGGGGTACGGAGGCTTGGGGCTGGAGGAACCGCGCAAGGGCCTCTGGAACCTGCCAGTATCGGAGGACTGTGGAGAGAAGCGGCAAGTGCATAGGATCTTGTCTTATGCTTTGGACCACAGCTGTTTGCAGCGTGTCGATGGTGCTTCTGTTCGACCGCCAAGCAATCAGAAATCAGCCCCTGGACCTGGACAGCCACTGTAACTGTCAGGAAAAACTGAGCGAGAAGACAACGCAAGTCCGTTCGGCGACTGGAGACGCCTCACAATACAACCCCAACCTAAATCCTCCCTGAACCGTCCATCTGGCGCTTGCGCTCCTCGAATCGCGGGCACTAGCCCGGGAGCCTTCAGAAGCCCGCATCTCAGTCCTCCAGATCCTTTTAAGCCCCTGCCAAAAAACCGCACTCGCCTCAAGAAGGTCCGCCAGCAGTGGCAGCGGCGCTGCGGGTGTTGCCTTCGCCACGCGACGTGCGCTGTTCCCAGAGAGGCGGACGTCCTCCGCACCTGGGCTACGGCCATATACAGTGCCTCACAGCGGCAGTTGCACTCGAGACGCACTCTCCGAGACTGCTCTGTGGCCCAAGCGCAGCGTCGCGAATGCTTGAAGCACCGTCGCCAAGTCCTGAAGCAAGGAGCCGTGGGATGCCCAGGGGGCCGTCGGTCGAAGTGCTCCTCCAGTTCAAACGCACGGCGGTCGTCCGCCAGGCTCTTCTGCGCGAGCCTGAACATGCGAATGCACATCGCCACTGTCCTTTTGATCGGTTTGATCCTTTCAATGAGAACTTGTGCAACACTTCAAGATCAATTCATGTGTTACATCGACGCCTGATCAGGAAGGATATGCTTGCAAATTAAGCCTCAAGGCGTAAGAAAACGAATTTCTGCTGAATAGACGGTATCCACACAACATGGGTAGAGCCCGCCTCACAAGACCTTTGTCAAAAGCAAGGATGCGCGCATGCGAATAAAGCAGCGAGGAGAGATGAGATGGGCCCAGCTCCTCAGATGCCAAACTCTCGCTCTCTCTGTCAATCAGTGTGGCATGCCTGGTGCAAGCCTCCCGCGCCGAAAGGCCCCTCGTGTTGGTGTTAGGGGAAAACACAGCGCAACTTCATGACGGCATTTCCCGAGGCATTGCTTACATCTGTTTATCCTCTGCCATGTGGACTCATCGTCTTGAAAAATGTAATATTACAGCGTGCATACAGCACACTGGCGCAAGTAGCAACCAAAGTCAAAACAGGCCCACCGGCCATGCGGAACTCATATTGTCTTGGCAGAGTCACAGCTCTCTCTAGCTCTCCCCTTCTTTTGCAGCCCAACCAGAGGGGTCTGCTGAGGGTCTCTCTGACTCTTGCAGAAACCCACCATCTCTTTGTACCTTATTCCGAGGGTATCTAACCCTTCTAGCCAAGATTCCTCCCTGTGATCGGGCTGCAGCAATCGTCGTGTCACCACCGAGAACAAGGAAGCGTCTCGGGAGCGCAGCTGTGCGAAGGTGTGCAAGCAAATGCCTCAGAAGGACAAGGACGGCACAGAGTTGCTTCAGAAAACACGGGACTCCCCCAATATCGAACCCTCAAAACATAGGATGCCTGTGAGTCTTGTGAGGCCTTTGTACAGGTGTGGCACCCAAAAGTCAGCCGCGGGACACAGTGCAGACACATCGAACTGGGGCATCTTGTCGGGGATGTCCTGGAAGGCACAAAGATGAGTTACCGATTCTCAGGCTATTGAAGCAGAGCCAGGTGTCAAACTTGCTCTGTCATGGGCGGAAGAAGCACCCAAAGACCGGAGATTTTGGGCCAGCGAGGAAGAGAGCACGCATCAAAACAAAGATTCCCGACGCTGCGCAGGCTTCAGGCGGATGGCATGTTCTACACACTACACATACTCACATGCTTGCTCGTCACTGGAACAGCGATGTCTGCTGGGGAACGTCCCTTGGCACTCGAACAGGTTATTACAACGAGTCCTGGGCGTTGCTCTGTCGAACCATTCTCAGCGTTGAATGTGCTCAAACTCAAGACCCGTTCGTGCAGGGTAAAGGATCTTGATTGGCGGCGGGACTGGTCTCATGTCTTCACTGTTCGTCACACTTCACATCCTGCTGCAAGTATGAAGATATCGCGGCCATGTGCCTATTGCTGACTCAATAGATCCAAGTCCCAAATAACAGAACAAGACCAAACCCTTATCTCGAAAGTCCAGGATGCCTTCGAAAGCTTGGCGAGCAAACGCTTTGGCCGCCTTTGTGCCACTGCGCATGCGTGCAGGACCTGGCCACAACGATGTGGGCATCCGTCCAATCAAGGACGAGGTGCACTAGAGCAGACGCGCCGTTTTGAAAATCAGAAATCCGGAACATTGCGCGCAAGGCGCGAACCCTGCAGCACAAAGAAGCCTGCACAGGCCCAAACCCCATGCCCCACACTCACACACTCCAAACTTTCGCATACACTGTCCTACCCGAGAGCAAAGTGCTGGCATGCCTCTGTGCGTGCTCACAATTGTTGGGTTGGAGGTGCAAGGCACTGTCTCGATGCACCTGCACCACCTCCGGGCCCCGCCAGGCACCACAGCGCTGTAGTGCCCGTTCCTCGAAGTCGAGCCACGCCTGGCAAGACTACGCATCCGACCTATCTTGCAACAGGGAAGCGCAACAAGCCTGCGTCTGTGTACACGTATCAACATATAAGGTACAAGTAGTATATATACATATATATATATACATATATATATACATATATATATATATACATTATACATATATATATATATGTATATATATATATATGGATGGTCACCCCCCTCCCAAGATCTACCTCGAAAGGTCTTGCATCAAATACTCTTCCTTCCAAGGACATTATATCCTTATATGGAAGTGCACAAACACCGTAAATTACGGTGCTTCTGTTAATATCACATAACGAATACATCTGTTGTAATTGCAGACTTCACGTTCTGAAGATCCAGTTAACGACTACCGGAATCCGGTAGTTGACTAATAAATAGAAATTTCAATGTTTGCATCACCTCCCATGGTTTTAGCAATATTTTATACAAAAAACATCGGAAAACACAAGTTTCGTGCGGTTTTGGTCGTATTTCCTATGAGCTTTCTTTGAAAATGTTGCCAAAAGCCGAGGACGGTCTCAAAAAAACCAAGACTAGAGGTGAAAATGTTGCCAAAACCTGAGGAGGTCTCAAAAAAAAACCAAAAAAAAACAAAGTCTTGGAGGTCTTCAAAGCCAGGGCCTCTCAATTTTTGTTTTTTTGAGACCTCCTCAGGTTTTGGCAAGGTTTTCAATAAAAATAGTGCTAAAACCTGAGGATGTCTCAAAAAAACCAAAGTCTAGAGGTGAAAATGTTCCCAAAACCTAAGGAGGTCTCAAAAAAACCAAAAAACAACAAAGTCTTGGAGGTCTTCAAAGCCAGGTCCTCTCTATTTTTGGATTTTTTGAGACCTCCTCAAGTTTTGGCAAGGTTTTCAGCAAAAATATTGCTAAAACCTGAGGAAGTCTCAAAAAAACCAAAGACTAAAGGTGAAAATGTTGCTAAGACCTGAGGAGGTCCAAAAAAACAAAACAAAAACAAAGTCTTGGAGGTCTTCAAAGCCAGTGCCTCTCAATTTGTGGGTTTTTGAGACCTCCTCAGGTCTTGGCAAGGTTTTCAGCAAAAATATTGCTATAACCTGAGGAGGTCTCAAAACAACCAAAATTTAGAGACCCCTAAGCCCTAGACCTCCAAAGCTTTGTTTTTTTTGAGACCTCGTCAGGTTTTAGCAACATTTTCACCTCTTCCAGACTTTGGTTTTTTTTGCGACCTCCTCAGGTTTTGGCAAGGTCTTCAATAAAAATACTGCTAAATCCTGAGGAGGTTTCAAAAAAAACAAAACTTTAGAGACCCCTAAGCCCAAGACCTCCAAAACTTTGTTTTTTTTGTTTTTTTGAGACCTCCTCAGGTTTTAGCAACATTTTCACCTTTAGACTTTGGTTCTTTTGAGACCTCCTCGGGTTTTGGCAAGGTTTTCAATAAAAATAGTGTTAAAAACCTAGGGAGGTCTCAAAAATACCAAAAATTGAGAGGCCCTGGCTTTGAAGACCTCCAAGACTTTGTTTTGTTTTTTTGAGACCTCCTCAGGTTTTGGCAACATTTTCACCTCTAGACTTTGTTTTTTTGAGACTTGCTCGGATTATGGCAAGGTTTTCAATGAAAATATTGCCAAAACCTGAGGAGGTCTCGTGCCTAAGCGATATTTACCAAATCCAGGAATCCAGGATTCTAGGATTTCCGCATTGAATCCAGGATTCCAGGATTTGTGTATTAGTTCCACTGAAATTTCATGAGGGATGTATATGAACCGGAACCAGCTCCAAAACCAAGAATCCAGGACGGGATTTATATGGACCGGAACCAACTCCGAAACCAGGAATCCAGGACTCTAGGATCTCTGGATTTGATAATGGATTTCATGGAACCTTTTGGTCAAGGATTTACAGAAAGAAAGCCAAGCCCAGGAAGACATGATCAAATCACATAATGAGAGATCTATTCACACAAAGCCAGAAACCCATGACCTGAGAATTGTTTGCCCAACTGCTGCAAGTTTGAGGAAAAGTCTATATACAAAAGATGCAGACCCAGAAGAAGAAATATGATTTACGTTTGAACCACGCCTTATGCAGCATTTAAAGGAAAGAGCATCAACAATCAGAAATGAAAAGACAGGTTGACTTTGAACTACATTCGGCGAAGTGTTTACAGCAAGAAAGCCACTGCCTTCGGAAGGAGAAGCCAGGCTTGGATCTTACAACTGTAACTCAAATTTGAAAAGACCGGAGCCCAGCATCTGCAAATTCTGAATGAAATTGGGAACGCATCTTGTAGAGACTTGTAGGAAAAATCATGCCCAGGAAGAGGAATTTCCCATTCTCAAAGTCGAACCACATTTAATAAGGGGTCTATATACAAAAAATCAAGAAGAGCCCATGTTAACAAGGGACTTACATACTAAAACCAAGAAGAACCCATGATCTGAGAATGAGCCTTTAAATTTGAATTGGAGTCTTCAGGGATTGACACAGAAAAATCCAGGCCCAGAAGAGAAGAATCTCCATCTAGAAAATCAGAAACTCAGGACTTGAAAATTCTGTTGTGAAATAGAAGCACATGTAGTGAACAATTTGTATAAATCAAATCAGTGCTGAGAAAAAGGAGAGTGAGGCAGAGGATTCTGGAATTCCCTTCAAGTCTGAAGTTCTTTTGGTAGTGAGAGAATGAACCAATGTTGAAGCAATGAGGCACCCACGGTTTGAGAATTGCCCTTTGAATTTGAAAGCCGCTTGGTAGGGGTTTTACAGCGGTATTTACGTAGAGAAAGTCAGGAACCCAGTATTTGATAATTCTGTTGAAATTTCAGGCACATTTGGTACGTTCTTTGTACAAGGGAATCAAGGTCCAGGATTCGAGAGAATTCTGGAGGCGAAACGCATTCCCAGGTAGATCTTGGGAGGGGGGCCGAGCATATATATATAACTTAATATGCGATGATATACTAAGATAAAAACTTTTGCACAATGTGATGCGATCTGATACGATATGACGAATAATGGATTGAAATATATTCTCATTCATGTATTTATCGTTGTATGACTATCTACCCGACTCTGTCAATATAGTGTCGAACGTAGAGCTCTGTATTTGCCCATCCATTTGTATAACAAGGGCCTACGGGTTTTGTGTGCGTCTGTGTGTGTGTGTGTCGCCAATGACATCTGCACGATCCCCCTCCTCTGCATGAGTACCCTGTACGGTGTGCCGTGAACACCACTGCTGCTGAGATCTTCAGCCTGATGCCATGCTGAAACGAATATGCCCAACAAGGAGTCTGCTCCTGCCTCGCGCAGGAACCACAGCCCTTGCATGCAATTATAAGAGGTGCAATTACAACAAAACGCTTCGGGCACATTCTGCACTGTGTTCGTACATACTATGTCACATGTATATATCTCAATCAGTACATTTATATATATATGTACATATCTATGTATATATAGATAGAAATATATGTATATACGTTACATGTGTACATATACGTACATATGCATACATATACATACATATACATACATATACATACATCTACATACATCTACATACATCGACATAAATCTACATATAACTACATATATTTACATATGTCTACATATATCTACATACACATACATACATCTCATACATCTACATACATGTACATACATCTACATACACATACATACATATACATGCATATAAATACATATACGTAAATACATGCATACGTTTTATTTATATATATATATATTGATTTATATTTTTATATTTATCTATATGTATATATATATATAAACCTATATCGACATGTCTATATATCTACATATTTATATGTTTATATATTTATATATTTATATATTTACATATTCATACATTTATATATTCATATATTTAGATATTGAGATATTTATATGTTTCTTTGTTTATCTATTTGTTTAATTATATATTCAATTTATATGCAACTTCAGATTCACAGACCCTTCTTCCGTGCCTCCTCATCGCCCGCTTCCCCGGCCTCCATGCGACAAGTGGACACGGCCGGCCCATCCAAGTAATGAGAAATGCACTGCTGCGTGTTTTGGAAATCGGACCCTTAGACTCGACACAGAAAGCAACGGAGTTGGGATATCAGATAATGATTATCTGATAATCCCTTAAAGCAGAGATATCGGGATGTCCCTTTGGAAGGACCTGCCTCCTTCACCGCCAGCTCCCGGGCTCGGGCTGGCAAGTCCAAGTCTGGCGCCCTAGCCGAGGAGGGTTCAGGGGATTTTCAGGGGTTTCGGGTTTGGGTTCATGTCCTTACCTGATGCAAGTAGACACACGCACACACACGCACACGTCGATGCACACCTCTTCTCTTGGCACGCTTGCACTTGACAAAGATCTGACAAGGCAAATGAAATCTGTATGGACCACAACGCAGTCAAAGTCGTTTGTAATTGTGTCGCTCAGAAGATTCGACGGGCCCTGCAAACAACCTTCCGCTCTGAGGACTCGCCTGTCTGCTACTTGCCTCGAGTGGCCAAGACCGTAGACAAAGGACCGAAACGGCCTGAGTCTATTCGCAGCTGCACATGAACAGGAACGTACAAGTTCTCTCGATCGCTGTTTAAGGTTCTTCGGTGGGGGAGCTTTGTGACAGACTAAACGAAGATGCCTGCATCCTGTCCCATCTTGCACTAGTAGCATCGCAGCCCGTTGCCCAAGCACGAAAACTGCTGTTTGACACGTCTGATACCCCCGGTGAAAATGCAGACTCCTGGACACTGCTAGCGGGCACAAACCCCACTCTCAAAAGCGTAGAGCAAACACCTTTTTCCTTGCAAGAGCCCACACCGTGCAGTCGACAGTCCGGACGCGTTCAAGTGCAAAAGACATGCATGCGAAACCTCATGATTGACATGTCACCGCTCCTTCTGACAGCCCGCAATCTTTCCCACATGCCCTCTCCGACCTCAACCACAAGCCCTAAATCCTGATCCCTAAACACCGACCCTAAGCCCAAAACGAACCCCAAAAGTAGATGCACCCATCCCTGCAGCCCAAGAGGCGGTGCTAGGCTCCAGAGATGTCCAGGGAAGGCCTTGCACATACCACATGGGATGACCATGATGATTCGTATTGCTGTGGTTGCTGTTGTTGTTGTTGTTGTTGCTGTTGCTGCTGCTGCTACTGCTGCTGCGGCTTGTGTTGTTGCTGTCGCTCTTGCTGTTGCTGTTGCTGCTGCTGCTGCTGCTGCTGCTGTGGTTGTTGTTGTTGTTGCTGCTGCTGTTGTTGCTGTCCCTCTTGCTGTTGCTGCTGTTGCTGCTACTGCT